GTGGTTGTATAGACCCTTCCCTCATTCTATTTGTATTCGGATGTTCACACCCTGGGCTCTAAACCCCACAGGTGCTACTTGTGGCAGTGGAGTGCTAATGCCGGGGGGTGGGGGGTGGTTTTGATTATGAAGATTGGGGTATTTCCGTCTGACGTTATGATCTCCGACGTTTTGCCCGCTAGGTAGAGGGTTTAGGGTGTAGGGGTTAGACATTTGCAAACGAGCAGAGTCCGGATGCACAAACATGGGTTAGACATAACATCACAATCCTTGCTTAACCTGGCTTTTGATTGCTTCCGCCTTTCATCAGCTATGAACCTCCAACTGGGCTTGTTTAAAAACACCGTTTCAGAAATTTCAGGAAGGGCGGCCCTATTTTGCAGATAAAATGTAAACCGATAAGGAGTTTTTTTAAGTGATAGGGTTCAATGTTTGTAGGATTAGCATACGGATCAAACAGCATCCATTGCAAAACGAAAAGGCATCACAAAACGATAAGGCTTCAAATAGAGACTGGTGTCCATGATAGGGTTTCCACACAAGCTCAAGTGGTCATTTCCAGAATTGGATCCGTATGTTGACCCCAGATGCTATCCTTTTTAGACGGTCTCCCAAAAAAACAGGGACCTGCAATCTGTGGATACCGTCAGCTGGTAGTGCACAGTGCTTTTCTGCTCAGTGGTAGGGAATGGAGAAGTGGATCCCTATAGCTGCCCCGATCTAGTGCCCAGTAAGGCGTTTTCCAATTTCATGTCCATTCTTTCATTCCCTACAACCTAAACCTACGGTACAGCCCCATAAACCCCGATTTCCCATCCAATGTCATTAACCCTCAACCCTAACTTCGAGTTAGATACCCAAAACCCTAAACCCCTAAAGCTGGCAACCTGGCACCCTAAACCCTAACCTGCTGTATGGACATGCAAGTGGCAAAACGTAATCATAAGTTATCATGGAAAATAGGGTTTGGGGTTTAGGGCTTATATCTGTGTACATCTCTACATGACCCCTGCATATCCTGTATACCCCTATTACCCCTTTAAGGGAATTTTCTGCATATCCTATGTCTCCTGTTATCCCTTAAAGTGATTGTATGTCCCGAAGAGTAGGCTAGGCCCGGGCTTGCCAAAGGCGCAAACCACTCTCAAAGCAGAAATGGCTGGCGAGAGCGCACGCGTCTCCACCATGGCGTCGTTCCTTGGATGCGCGATTTCCTAGGGTAGTCCTGAAACCTAAGCCCTAAGCCCACGTCTTCGCACAGAAAACCCACGATAGTCTTAGCAGCCTTTGGGTAGATTTACATTCTGGCTTATTATTGTAGATTTGGGTTTGGGCTTGGGGTTAAGGGTTTAGGATTTAGGGTTTAGAGTTTAGGGTTTAGGAGAGGGTTCCAGAGCAGAAAGACGCCTACTGTAGAAAGCTGAAGTATCAAGTGTTGGCGAATGGTTTTAGATTCGTCTTCTACGGAAACTCTCTTTCACCCTATGTTGCAGGCCAGGGTTAGGGGCTCATGGGCTCAAAGGTCAAACAGGAACTGGGCTCAGGACCTCATGAAATTGGGTGCAGGTTTGGCATTTTCGATTCTGGTTTGGATTGTTGTTCTCCGGTTATCTGACCAGGGCTTGTGCGCCGATACAGGTGTGAGCATACAAGGTTTTGATGCCTATTGGAGTCAGTGAAGGAAGCAAGGGCCACTCCAAAATATCGCTTCAGAGCTCTTCCGGTGCGAGTGCCTGAAGCTCAGAAATATTTGCGAGCTATCCGGCTAGTCAGGAATTGCTCTAGATCATGGCCGCCAAGTACTTTTTTCATAATCTGGGCCAACAGGTTGCTGGAATTCTGCATGTATCAGCCGCGTGCCATTGAAGCCTAGATTTACAGCCTCAGCAAAACGTAGATTGATCGCATCGCTCTAATCTTGAGTCCCTGTCATTGTCACTTCCTCTTCTCACGAAGCAGTGCCGAAGGAGCCTTCAAACAAGCAGCGCAGGGGTTCAGCTTGATGCTCTTCCCAACCATCGTTCTTTCTTGCTGGCTCTTTTTCAACAGCCTTTGGTTATGGGCAACTGGCAGAAAGAACCTCAAAAGCTCCGGGACTCCCAATGCCGAGCATCTGCGAGTTCGGAATACGGACATCTCTGGAAAATAATGTCCCCCACACCCGCACAGTTCGACAGCCGTTAGGATGGGAACAACTTCAGAGGGATGCGCACTTCTACAACAAAAACGCTGTCAACATGCTTGCCTTGGCAGCTTTCTGCAGCACTATGTGTTGCAAGCTAGGAGCATACGACTTCTGCGTCTCGCATTCGTGAGTTGCAACATGTCCACTGCGACTTCAAGCCCACATACCTCTATGTTCAGTCCTGCATGGATTTGTAACATTTAGGGGTGGGGAGTGTGCTGATATTTTGCGGGGAGGGTCCACCCAGTCAGTGGCAAGCTGCTTCGGGAGAGTCATGCCCACTGCAGGCAGCTGTCGGAAGCTTTGGCCAATCTATCTGCGCCTGGGCATGTGCAAAAACTGAAACGTCTCCTATAAAATCCATAACAAGGTCCCCAAAATTAGGTGTCTCCAGGGGCCCCCCACTTTTTGAAGCCACCTATTTTGTGTTGTGAGGGGGCCAACTCCACACCTTTTTTCTGTTTTCACTAATGAGTTTCTGTGGGGTTTAGGGTTTTGGGGTTTAGGGATTGCGTCGCACGGTAGACATGGGAGCCATTTTTTGCTTGGAGTGTAATCGAGGAATGCTCCCCGCCAGGGTTCTCTGGTTGAAGCCGAAGATCCTGCATGACATTGGTACGCTTATACTACCACAATTCCCACAGTGTAAGGTATTTGAAGTCATACAGGTTTTTAGCATCAAGCGTTTGACTGAATACCTTCATCTATTTGGGTTACTTGGCTGCTTGGGATCGGAATGGAGGAATCTGCGGGTCAATGTTTGTTCCTCGCGGACGTCCAGCATCATCCTTTGAAAGCTTTTGGTTGTACGAGTCGCCTGCTCTTATGGTGGATGGATATTCCCCAAGCGGTTTTCTAGGGGTATGAGCGGCCGCTTTTATTATTGTCGTGTAGGTGCCAAGAGCGGGCAGAGATAAAATCCAGGGACATGAGCAAAACCCTAGTAAAGCCATTGGGCCCCCCGCCCAGAAGCGATACCCCCGAAATGGATGACGGCAGTGTGCAAAAACCCTGTGAAGCGATAGGCCCCCCCCCCAAGCGATCTTTCATTCAGCTGTTTACTAATAATTTAGGTAGCTGCTCATATAGGGTTTTATACTGCAGGGGTTTAGATATGGGGGAATGGAAAAGAAAATGATAACCACAGCATTATTTTTGTCTTTAGGGTCATGTTTCCAACTAAACAGCACAGGGAAAAGGATCCCTGGTCTTACTCACAGAGCTGTACGGGCTCCTGCCAGAATTGAAACAAAGGGCACCCCATCTTTTTGGACGGTAGAAAGGCTAAAGCACTTGTCACCTTTTGCCGAGAATACTAAAAGCCTTCCACCCGCTGACATGAAATTATCCCGATGTATGGGAGACATCTCACATCATGAGTTGGGGCATTGAATATGGTGGGGAAATAGCACAGGCAGCGTGGCCGCATTGGGGGTATAGCGGGGAGATCGTCGGTGGCTCTCTGTCTCCAGGACGTGCTCATGAGGCACACGTCTTCAGCAATGACTTGAGCCTGCACGAAAACCCTCATAACCCCGACAGGAACTTTCCCCAAACCCTGAAACTCATGGTGCAGACCAAAGGCAGGTGCAGCGGTGGATTTCCACCGGCCAGCGTCACATGTTTCCCTGTTTTTTTCACCAAATGGGAGGCTTTCAATAGGGTGGGTTTAGCCCGCTACATGTAAGTTCTGCAGCGCAGAGGATCTGTGAACCTGACTGAGTACGCCAGTTTGCCAAGAATACAATGGCTTCCCTTGAGCTATGTTCTAGATTCCTTGAAGGGGGAAAATTTGGGGATTACATAGGGGACTGCTATAGGGCTGGCTCAGCAAGGGGGATACTGGGAGTGTCGACTATAGCTCAAGTCAAGTATGATACAACGGCCGTTTCTTGTTACTTCCACAGTTCATGCCGCTGTGCGTATGACATATGAGTAATTGCCCAAGCTTTGCATTATGAGCACTGCTTCCTTGTCTCCTGCGGGTTGCTACAGAAAGTTGCCGCTACTTCAAGCAAAACTGACCTGGAAGCATCTCTAGCCAAGGCGCTGCATGACGCCAACCAACAGTCCCATGCGAAGGCCGCTGCATTTATGTCATGGAGGGTTTCCCAGAGGGTCCACATATACAACCATTGGGGAATTGGGGCCCATAATTCCTTCTGTAGTATGGTATTNNATTTTGGGGCCTAATTCCCTAATTGTTGTATATATGGACCCTCTGGGTTTGACGGGCTCATCCTGAAAAGGTTGGACGTTCCAGACAACAGGGTCACCAATGTAAACCCCAAAGCTTGTGATCTTTCTTTCAAACAGGGACCAGGGATCATGGGGGAGTTCGGTGTGCTTTTGCATTACAGCTCCAAAACAGCCTTCCAGACTTCTACGTACAAGTAATTTACGGTCCGACATGATTAGGGATTTGGCCCGATTCGGGTTTAGGGTTCAGGGATATGTCATATCACCCTTTAATCATGGAGCATCAAATGGACAAGCGAAGAACATAGACAACTAAATGTAAGTTGGCTTTATATAGGGTTTGATAGGCGGTGTAGGTAGAGAAAAAACCAGGTTATGATCAGGTTTCATCCCAGAGTCCTTTGCAGTTATCATTCCTGGATAACGCTAGCGTCTCGCGATATGCTGAGCTGATCCAAAAGCCTAAACCCTATGTCCAATAGTATGTTGCGACGCAAGCGGCATTCTCAGGGCTTGGGGGCTAGGGCTTAGGATGGTTTAAGGGGTTTAGGATTTAGGAAAAAGCAGCTGAAGGTTGTCTTGAGGCTGAGATGTCATAGGCTCCTGCAAGCGCGGCATGCGACGGAAGGCTGCGCACCAGCCCAAGGACGAGAAGATGGCTGCCTGGCGGGGCGGGCTCTTCTCCGTTGCCAAAAAGCACTTGTGCAACAAGAAGCTGCTGCCGTTGATCCAGAACGTTGTGCACTTGCTGCGGTCGCTGCCGACGGCACTGCTTTTCCATAGCGTGGCAACATTGCTTTTCAGCACACTGCTAGCGCAGGAGCCCAGAGAAGAAAAGGTCGTGGACTCGTGGACCGACTCCAGCGGTTCTACTTCAACAAAGTGCCACCCCAGGATGCTCGGCGATTGTATGGACTGAAGTCCTGGTCAGGTAACGCCGACTACATCTGGGAAGCCCCCTGGTGGGCTGGTCCTGAGGGCCTTCAACCAGGTTCCGCCAGCGGAACTCAAGCGCAGGAGTCTTGGCACCGCCACAAACTCAAGAAATATTTGGGCAACCTGCGCACAAGTATCCCAGTGCTGACCAGCCAGCTGCAGGCGTTCGCGTCACACACACACTGAGCCAGCTTCGTCCAAAGGACGGAACCTTGCCCGATGTCGCCACAGAGCCCTTCCCCGACAAGTGGGTTCTAGAAAGCTCGCAGGCGCTGACGCGCGAGGGGCGCACGGATGCTGCTCAATTTTGCACCTGCAAGGCTTTCACAACGCACAGCGACGCGGAAACACAGTTTTGGTGCATGCCTCGCACACTTGCCACTTATGATCCACGGTCTGCAGCATGGTCTCGCGCGCCTGATGACTCCGTCAAGAAAAAGCCCTGCCTGCATTCAGCTGCATTCTCCAAAGTCCTTGCCGCTCGCGAGCAGTCCGAGCTTGACAAGGCGCTCAGAGAGCTTTGCGGTGCAGAGAACGACATACAGGCTGGGCTTCGTGTCCTTGCGTCCAATGTCCTTGTTGCCCTTGGTCCACAGGCGCGAGCACGTTGGCGTCGTGCTAGCACACAGGATGCAGCGGACCAGACGTACATGGACGTGTTGTGCAATTTGTGCAATGAGTTCTGCATGCGTGGCACCTGCGAACACGTGCACGTCGCTCTCCTTGATGCAAACATTGTTTCCTTGACCCTAGCTAAAATGCCCAGCAGATCAGGGGGTGCAGCCGCGCCTACTTCTGACATGCCGCACGTGGATTTCATTCTGCCCGCGTGCGGGGCTGCCGAAGCTCCTCCCCGCAAGGCCGCTGCCAAACAAAATCCAGCCGTCCTCCACGCCTGTCAGGCGACCAGGACCTGCAGTTTAGGAAGGCACTGCGTCCTATCCTGAAGGCTGCAGACGCGCTCTCCTACGCCCCACTCCTGGCGCGTGAGCAGATGATGCCAGCGGACATTGCTCGCTTGGACATTGCCACCCGTGCCATCTTTCCGACTCTTCCTGCGGCTGTCCTGCTTCGTGTGCAGCGAGAGTCTCAGAACGTCCGGGCCCCGGGTAGTATCTCGCCTCAACTCATGTTTATGTCCATATCCTGCTAGCTGTCAGACTCTTTTTCTAAGGATGCCAAGCCAGATGAGCTTGCCAGCAGCTTACTCTGTGGGACTTATTGCTTCTTCAGATTTGCCATTGAACACGGCAGGCCCCGTCGGAAGGCGAGGAACTGCCCTGATTGCCTCACAGGTGACATCCCCGGCTATGCACTTTTGGAGCATCTTTTTTTTCCGTGAGCACAGGAGCCCAAGGCTACCAGCGAGGAGGACAACGGGGAAGGGACCCAGGCAGACTGCCTGAAAGCTTTGGTCGCAGTCCATCATGACGCCCGTGTGAAAAATATTGCACATGGCAGGGGCAGACTCCGCCGGCACGTTGCTGCGGATTGCAGATCAGTTCGTGGTAGGAATACGCTTCCAAACAAGAACGGCTACCTGTCAGGTGACATCGGACGATGAGGCCAATGCTACTGCTATGTTGATTCTCCGAAACAGTGCACGCAAGTAGAGTTTGCAGTATAAGCGCAGCAGGAGCAGGATGCATCCCAATCGGATGAGCAGCGCGAGGCACTCCATTTTGTGAGCTGTGCTGTTCCAATGCAACGGCCAAGTGTGAGAATGTTGGCTCCCTTAGAAATCTATCCTAGCTGTCACGAGACACCCCCCTCGCTAGCGAGAATCCTGGGCTGTGAGCCTCCAAGGGTGTGTGCACAGAAGCCCAAGCGCTGGCAAGCTGGCCTGCGGGAAACCTTTCTGCAATATGCAGACTGTTCCAGCTGGGAGTGCCGCAACTGGCCTTAGCTTCTGCACGCCAGCTTGTTTCAAGGAGCGGTTGCCGGAGCGTAAACCTGCAGCACCGTAGACAAAAGCCTACGGTGCAGGTTGCCAGCGCAAGTCACGGAGGCCTGCTGTTACTCAGACATTCCACAGGCAAGCGCTGAATTGCATTTTCGCAACCCACTTTGCGGCTCAATGTCAAGCCCACGGACCTAGACATGAAGCATGATTGACAACAGATGCCGTCCCCTACGCTTCGAGGCTTGCGTGGTTTGCCATGTCCAGGAAGGTAGGGACTGCTAACCTGGTGCGCTATGTCGAAGCAGGAAGTCTTGTACGGAGTACATTGTACCTGCAGGCAAAGCTTCTCGGCTCTTGTGTTAGGACTGCGGTATGTTGTTTGGAACGGGCGCGGACCGGACCTGGCTTGTCTGAATGGCCTTGGTCCTCCGGTCTGGTCTCCTGGTCCTGTGGTCCTCTAGTCCTTGAAAGGGCTGCCCCCCCCCTGCACACCACTTTTTTTCTTTCAGCCGCCATCCATGCCTGCAAGAGATGACATGTATCGTGTCACGCCCATGTTTGCAGTAGGGGAAGGCTGTTGGGATCATTTTGTTTGTGCCATCCAGCGGCATAAATGAGTGTTTCTCTTACTGCTACAAATTGCAGTCTTCACGTTCTTTGCAAGGCTCTGAACGCTGCAGTTTACAGCATGCATCGACAGCCTTTACAAAAAACAAAGTGGGCGTGCTGTGTTTACAGTGGGGGGAGCCTGTGCCGCTCCTTTTGGTTTTGAAAAGGGGGGGGGCTGCGACCCCCCCCACCCCCCCCGCTTTTTTCAGGCAATCCCTGTGACTGTTGACACTTCTCAGAATCCAACAACATCCGAGAGTCTGAAAACAACGACAGGATCGTGACCTCGAGCACCACGATCCGTGTCACTGTTCACACTTTTCAAGCACCAAGAGAGTCGGAGGGCCGAAAAGCGACGACAGCTACCAAGATTGCGACCCTGACCCCCGCCATCCCTGTGACTGTTGACACCAGGAGCATCCGAGGGTGTAAAAACGACGACATTTACGAGCATCGTGACCCTGACCCCCACGATCCGTGTGACTTTTCACACGTTCGAAACGCCAAGAGGATTCGAGGATCGAAAAGCGACGACAGGTACGGGGCGGTGATTACGACCCCGACTCCCGCCATCCCGGTGACTGTTGACTTTTTTTCAAAATCTGAGAGGTTCACCCTCCAAAAAAAAATTTTGATTGGAAAATAGTTTTTTTGATGGCCGGAGCAATCCCAGACCGAGGAAAGGTCAGCATTTTGCGACAATAATGTTTTTTTTGATCCGGAAAAAATGTTTTTTGATACCTAAAAATTTTTTTGGATCTGGAACTGAACTTTTTTTTTGATCCTTCCTTTTTTTTTGATGCCCTTTCCGTGCCCCTAAAAGGCTTCCCCAATATAGCCCTTATATGAGCCAATGTAGTCCTTTAGAGTTCCTTCAACGAATCCCAAAACCGAGGAAGCCTGAAACCCTTGAAAGTAGCTACTGGGTCCACCCAACCCTCCAAGTAAGGCTCAGGGTGTTGGGGATCCCAGGTTCTCTTGGCATACAGGCTCTTCCTGGCAAAGCTGACAGACCCCAGCCCAACAGCTGCTTGTGAACTCGCTAGAAGATTTAGTCCCCCTTTAAGTAGATAGAATACGGCTTTGGGTATAGTATAATAAGATCCCCATATACCCCATATTCTATCTACCTAAGGAAGACTATAGCAAAACGGTAGAATGTGGCAGGCCTTTGACCCGGAACTTGGGCAAGTCATTTCCACAGCTCATGGTTTTAAAGTTGCCGAAGTTCCTGCTCATTATTTCAGTTGTTAGAATTAGCAAAGTCTTAAAGTTACTACTCTTACAGCCGTATAGCGTTACTACCATCATGGTTTGAGGTGATTGGGCTAATGAGCTTGCTGCGCTGATTGCAGTTTTGATGACGCCAACTAGGACAAAATCCCAGCACCTGTAAAATCCCATGTACCCGAAACTGGCCCTATTTCGGTGGTACTTCTCTATGCCTTTAGCTCTTGAACACCTTTGAGGTTCCTCTTTGATATTCAGGGACCCCAAAATGCATTCATTCTAGGGGGTCACAAGCAACCAAGTACTAACACCCTTGCTTTTTGCACAGGTGGTGAAGCACAAAGCGACTTTAGCAGACCAGAGAAGCACATTGGTCCAATGCAAGGCACCGCATGCTTGGAAACGCTGCCCTGGAATTCATTGTAATACGGGTCCCTAGCGGGTTCCCATCACAATATAGGTCCCTACATACAGTCCCCCTCATGTGGGGAACAGTAAGTGATGCCAAGCATCATATGGGAGTTTCCCACAATTGAGGTTCCCTTTCTGGGGGTCCCCATAATCTAAATGATACTAATTGCTGGAGGGCAAATAAATGTGATCCCCTTTTTTGGGACCCCACTATAGCGGTCGCTTACCATTTCTTTTTCTTTCTTCGGAGCTCCTAGAAGCTTCTGCTTTCATTTCTGTGTTTAAAAGGGAAGAAGATGTGACGGAAAGATGGACCTTCTCATGGCATGTGATCCATGTCTGTTTGCAGCCATAGCTCATGTCAAGACTTAAGAGTCGTAGATGTTGAGCAGCTTGAAGTTCCTCAGAGCGTCCAGAGCAGGAGTTGAGGGGGCCACATTATGAGGAGAGAAGTGAGCCAAGTGGCGCAAACTGGGCATGGGGCAAGTGGGGCAAGTGGTCGCGGACCCTTGATCCCCCCAACGCCGACACTCTCATCCAAGTTTTGATCTAAGGATATCACCATGGGCCCCCAGCATGGGCCCCTGTATTACACAGAGGCCCATGCTAGTTTTCTAGTCTATATGCTGGGTATCCCTAAACCCTAAACCCTATACCTAGCATATAAATTATGTGATTATGTATACCCCCGGAAGCCTCTAACCAGCCCTCCATGGATCTGATTCGAGAATCAACTTCTTGTTCTGAGGTTTGCAAGAACTCCTGTTGGAACAGCCTCTGCCTGGCTTAGGGCTCAGGGTTGAGGGTAGACATACCAGAACTTTGAGACAAAAACTCGCCCCCCAACAAGGTGCGACCTTTCCTTGGACCAGCGCCAAAGAGACCTAGAGCTGCAAAATCTCCGACACAAGTTCTTCACGCGGGCAACGGTAAGAGCGCCGAGGTATTCCTAACCTTGGAGTTACTGAAGCCAAAACCCCTAAACTGCATAGACCCCAAACCCGTTCTGAAACCCAAGCCCTTGCCAGGTTCTAGCTTCCGGGGCCCTGGACAACATCAAGGCAGCCTTGCTAGAGCTTAGGGTGTACCAATACTTCTGTTCTATATTTAGAGACTATACAGGGCAAATGGAAAGGAAAATGCAAAACTAAATGGAATCTGAGTTGATATGGGATTTTTAGGGATATTTACCAACATTATGGTAGCTCTTACAACGTAGTGTTCCTTTCTTTTGAAGACTGCTCAGACCTATGGTCCCCCTTAAGTAGATAGAATATGGTTTTGGGTACAGTATAATAAGATCCCCATAAACCCTAAAATATTCTATCTACTTAAGGTGGACTATAGACTTTCCATACCAACTGATGGCCTAGCGGCAAGATCGCCAAGCACTTACTGCTTCCAGCGCAGCGTGTGCCCGACTTGCTGAGGTTCGGGGTCTAGGCAGCAAATGATTAAACTCTTACCTGGTATGATGAGATGTGGCAAAGGAACCCTTGATAAACAGCTCCTGGATAAAACCCTAAACCCTGAACCGTGTGGGCTAAGCATTCCCTTCTCCAGCACCACATCGACGACGACCTTGACGGCTTGATCAAGAAGTACTCGCAGGCGGGGCGGGGCAATAGGGCACTTAACGGTAGTTTCCCAAAATGAGGGGACCCCAATATAAACCCCAAAAGAGTATGATCCTTATGATTATATTGGAGACCCCAAAATTGTAACCAATTTTTTGGAAACCCTAATCCCTAAACTCTATCTGCTTGGTGTTACACGTATAACTTGGGGCCACAGAAGGGTAATGGAAAAGAAAATGGAAGCATCTATATTACATATTTTCTTAGGATTTAGGATTTGGGGTTGAGGGTTTGAGCTTCCAACATGGTGGAGGGTATCAAGATTGATGTTGGCAAATATTCAGGCCCCTACATTCCATAGTCTCTTTACATGACCCCGTTACCCCTATATAAACCACGTTTCCGTTGCATTCTCCATGTTCCATGCATTTCATCCTCGTCTTCTTTGGTTATTTTAGTAGCCAGCCACTGGATGATTGAAGGGCAAGTATACACAAGATTCAGGGCTTCGGGTTTCAGGTCCGACCTATAGGGTCAAACACAAGACCGGGAGGGCCAACAGCGGGCACAGCTTATATTGTCGGGCAGCACGGACACAGGCAAAGCTGCAAAGTCTACACTGCCAGCCCTGTTGCAGCTGTTAAAAAATCAATGTTCCTACAGCCCTCTGTAAACCTAGGCCTTGGGATCTATGATACTGCTGATACACGTATATATGGGGCAGAACTCCACAACTCCCAAAGTATAAAACAGGTACTTAGGGTCATGCGAGATATTGAGTGTCAAGGATAGTACAGCATGTCCACAAGCTCTAAACCCTAAGCCCTAAACCCTAAACCGAGACAGGCAGCAGCTGACGAGGCTGAGAGCATGACGAAGGAGCTCATGGCCTCCTGTCATGGGATTTTCTCAGGGTTTGGGCCCTAAACTGGGTTGCTGTGAAGGAGCTTAACTTAGGTTATATACCATAATGGGTGTATAGGGTTCAGGGTTTAGGGTTTGGGGTTCAGGGCTTAAGTTACCATAATGGCAATATGTAGTGAATAATAGGGTTTCCCCAATACAGTAGCTTACGTTCCTTAACAGCAACCCTTTAAACCCTAAACCCTCACCCAGGAATAGCGGTATGGCTGGAATTTTTCAGACAGGCACTTTCATGTAAGTACCATTTTTCCTTGGTCATCACAATTACAGGAGTCCCTGTCTGGCGTTGCTCACAAGGAAATTACAGGGTTCTAGGGTCGAGGGTGATATAGAGCAAGGGGTCTGGTATTCCCATTAAAGTAGCTTGAATTGAGTTTTTTTTTACAGCTACCCAGTATAGAGGACAGGCCCTTATGTTTCTGAAGATTTGGCAATAGGTTCTCGTTGCCTTGCATGGCCCCTATCCTGGTTCAAACCATGTCAATGTGAAGCTTACCGAAAACTGGTCATTTGAGAATGTTATATAGATTGGTGATCCCTGTATTCCTCGCCATCATTCTTTTAGGACACCCTACTGCACTGAAAAAAGTGGTCTTGATATGAGACATGACCTCCATGGCGCTCCACGTATTCTTGACCGTCCTTGACCATACGATCACAAAGCAGGCGAGTCTTAGCTACGTAGGAGCAACATGACATCAAGGCCGGGAACAATTCTACAGTAGAGCATCCCTAAACCCTAAACCCATATGATTTCGGTGCGTGCGGCTTCAGTCGAACAGAGATGCTTAACAGGAGGACATGCCAGATCTTGACAGTGATGCAGCTTGGATATCTTAGCAGGCCCTATTTAAGCTTGCAAGGTAATGCTGGTCAGGAAAAACGGGGATTTCCAGGAAAGGGTCCCCTTTGAGAGATTTCGGTTAGTAAAGATTCTGATATGTCGGGATCCATTTTCGGCCCTGTGTCTATGGAAACCCGCAGCCTAAATTCGAAAGATTGCACCACTACCCCAAGCCCTCGACTTAGCAATTTCATCAACCCGATCGGGTCGCTAGTTGGCTCGCGCATTGTTTAGGGTTCAGGGTGTACACATCCCGGATAGGCACCAAAACAGAATGAAGGTAGAGGAAGCCCAGCTCATGATCGGGCGAAGTCCTTTTTGAGTTATAGTGAGGTGCTATAGATATCATTAGTGCTTTGGGATCCACTTGATAGTCCTTTCAGCGAAAATTACTGCTAAGAATCCATCTCAGTCGTCTCAGGATTTCCTCAGAGGGTTCCTTGCAAGTAGAGTTGTGTGCTAAAGACCGTCGCACAACACAACCTGTTCGCATTACGCGTATGCAATTGTGCCTTACTAGTCCTGCCCTTGCAAATCCCACCTAGCCCAAAACCCATAGACTTCTCGTTGGAAGACTTCCATAGACAAGGGCCCAGAACGCGGAAAAGAAGCCACCGCAGAGTAAACTCAAGTTTCAGCACCATAAGCCCGCATACTGGGGGCCGAAAACAAGGGCCATGACATGGGAGTTTCCAGACATAGGAGGACCCGTTATGTACCCCAAATAAATTATAGCCCTTACTATAGTTACCCCCAAAGAAGCGCCTCTAGTTTCCGGTGTCATGTTAGGGGTCCTGTGTATCAACTGGACTCCCACATGTTGGAACCGCAGCCACGCAACTTACCTCTGCTTCGCAGGGAGTGAAGGAATGGAAACAAATGGAAATTACAAAAGCATTGAGGATCACACAGGGATTGCGAAAGGATCTATGCCTCTTGCTAAGCAGAGGTAAGACAAAGAAAGCTTAAACCCTCAACCCCAAACCCTAAACCCTGAACCTGACAACTTCAGGCGAATTCCTGAATCCCAAACTCGGGATTCCCTGCCCCTCCGGCGACCTTCGTCTTGCTGTGTGGGTAGTTGGCCTGAAGTCTAGGCAGTCAAAACCCTAAAATAGCCCAAAATGGGAGAGTAATAGTACCGGAAATGGCTGTAAAAGGAATAGTAATAGGCATAGCAAGAGTAATGGTAGTTTGAAGCCCCGGGAGGGGGGTAGCATAAGGGGTAGTAGGGGAACCCCATGATACAAGCATCAGGGTTTGGGGTTCAGGGTTCACCAGAATCACCCTAAACCCCAAACCCTAAACCTTCAAAAAAGGGTTCACCAGAATTACCTAACTCAGGTCTGGCCTCCTATTGAGTGATCATTCTCTGCCTGGATCAAGACTGCTGGGCTTTCGGAGGCCACGCTGGATTTGATAGTTTGGCCGTCTAAGGTTGGAACCAGGGGCCACCCTAAACCCGAATCCTGGGGTCCCCCATTATGTACCGTATAAACCCCATAAACCCCCAGAATTTCCCATAGTCAGGACAAGGGAAACAGGTAGGGGCCCATGTTAGATGCCCATGGTTAGCCAATACTCACACATCCTCCCCCGAAGAAGTAGTGGGCTATCCGGGGAGTTGTTCATAGCATTTTGGGAGGGGTCGGCGGGTGCGTAATTTGGGTTGCTGATAAGGAACTTAAAGTGAGTTACTCTAATAAGGAAACCCCAGAATTTAGAGTACAATATAATCAGGATGTGGTAACTTGAATTAAGTTCCTTAACAGCAACCCTAAACCTTAATCCCTAAACGTTATAATCCCTAAGCTCTAAACCCCAAACTCTAATCCCTAAACCCTAATCCCTAAACTAGCAACCCAGTTATGGGGGCCATGGAGTGCCCCTCAAGGGTATGTCTTAACCTGAGGGATTCTAGGGAAATGTAGGGGGCATACCAGGGAGCTGGGGGCCCCATTGGAATTATGTAGGGGTTGTTTTGAGGAAGCTTTAAACCCCTCCTGTTTATTCCCCTACACCCTAAACCCTTTCAAATCCCTAGGGTCTCAGAGATGGTAGGGCCTTTTCAGGTGCCTTACGCTGGATTATTTTGGGACAGACTTACATCAGGGAATGTGAGTTAGTGTTTCGGGATTTAGGGATCAGGGGTTAGGGTTTATGGTTGGGGTTTGGGGTATATGCTCTCTAGACCCTACATCCAGCAATAGTGACTAATTATTCGAAATAATACGGATTATATTAGGGTCCTCTCATATTCCCACTATACCACTATTACAGGGTGGAGGGTCCTCCTTGGAGACATGTTCTCTAGACCCCCAATAGTGGTAGAAAAAGAACACAAGAGGGCCCTTATATAGTCACTGCTATCTAAGGCATATGAGGCGGTACCATCCGAAATGCGACACCTCACTGATGAGAAACCTGCCTTCTGAAAGCGGGTATCAAGGAATGGGCTCATGTGGTGGTTATAGGGAGCCGCACGAAGGGCGCAATGCAATCCGAAGCTGGCGGGTTTGTGTTGCCGCAGTGAAACAGAAACGAATATTGCTATCGCATTTTGTAATCTGCCTATGCTTCAGCAGCATTGTCATTGACCTGACCAAACACTTGGACGTATGGCGGATGGAGGAAAGGCTGCACCACTTACGATCCCCCAAGCTACTGTAACTTCTCGGGTGCAAGATTTCCTCCATCCACAGCAGGATTTGATTCCATGCCGGAACGTAGAGTCATGTTTTGCTTGCACACAGGCCTCGAAGTCTTCTTCATCTCAGCAGCCTCGATGACGGGATTCAGTTTCACCTCTTAGCAGTGGGAGTGCTGCCTGGAGAGGAACCCTGTTGAAGCGGCGGCCGAAAAAGGTGCGGAGACGCACAGGACTTTTTTCTGGCCCGAACCTAAACATGACTGGTTGGTTGGCCCAGGCATTGAAGTCGACTGCACAAACGATTCCACTCAGGTATCTTCATCACCCGTAAAAAAACACCGGCAGGCCTTAACGGAAGCCGGATTGCTAAAACGCGCCAGGCAACATTTTCCCTAAACTGTGTTAGCTGTGGTGTGAATGCTGCCGCTCGAGCGTCGAGAAGACCTCCGTAGACTGTCAAGTACATTCAACACTGGAGCGTGCCAGGCGGGATCGGCAGGGAGGGACTACAGGTGAATATTACTGAAACCTGAATAATTGCCAATCATGGGCAGTCAATGTGATCATGGTTCTGGGTTCCTTACATTCTTGCAGTACAGGGTGCTTCAAACAGGTCACCATCTTGGTTCTTCTTTTAGGCCCTACATGCGGGTTTTGCAAAAGAGGAACAGTTACCCTAGGGACTGGGGATATGGGGAATTATTTGGGGTCCCTACTAAGCATTTCATAGCCACTGTTGTGAGAAGCACCCCCTATAGCACTTTGCCCAGTGAGGGAGCCAATGCTTTTGTGATGGCAACGGCTTGGTATGTATTGGGATTTACGGGGATGAGCTGCAATCTGTGGTGCTAATTGCGCTGGTTGAGCTTCAAACCGTATGTACTATGCCAGGACGTAGCCGCAATGTGGCTGCCAGTTTGTTTCCTGCTGCTTGTTGCGTGTCTTGGCGAGGAAAGCACAGAAACCTCAACCGACTGGGAATTGGTTCTTCTGCCAGATTTTGCATTGGGATTCTTATCCAAATATTGGAGAATCAAATGGACACCCTGAACCCCTAAACCCTAAACCGCAAGAAACCGGAGATGAAATGGAAACTTGGACTAGACTAGATAGGTGATTATGGGGATTAGGCTTTTCCAAAAACCGGAATACTCGTACCTTTTATTGGGATCCACATAAGAAGGATTATAGCTTTTTAGGGTCTATATTAGTGTCCCCCTACTTCTGGAAGCTACCATGTTGCAAATTATTATTTCATTGGGCCTATGTGGCAAGGGATTCTGAGTGATTTGCCCAGTCTTTGGTAAGCTCTGTTGGCTTTGGACTTTGCACTTATTCTGGGTTGCCGTGAAGGAATCTAAATTAAGCTAACATAAGATGGGCACATAGTTACTAATAGGGTTTGCAGATTATAGTAACTTACCTTAGAACCCTTAATGGCAACCCACTTTCTCAGCGTGGGGAAAGCAGTTAGAGCACTTGCCGCCATCCCGTGATGAGCTAGTGTCCTGCTTCTATATCACAACCTCTCATCCGCTGACGGCATTGCATCTTTGTCATGGCGGAACTAGCCACCGGTAGTGGAAGAAGCATGACATTCAGGAGCAGGACTTGCCGTACAAGCTTGAATACTTAGCAATACTATCCTCTTACATTTCTGCACAGCTAGAGAGTAAATGCCTTAAGACCTTATTCTAGTTCCCTGCATTACGGTAGCCAGCATCGATCAATCCTCACGCGCCTTCAATGAAGTAGGACTTCTAGGGGAGTCCCTGAGGTGGATAGATGCATTGACATTGGGGCTGATATAGGGGTCTAGGGTTTCCAAAATTTCGGTGTATTATCCCAATCATAGAGACGATGAAATGGAAGCTGGGATGATGCAGGGGCTTAGAGGGATCAGGACTACCAAGGATGAGTGAACCTCTCTTGTGAGCAACTTTTTTGGGGCTCAGCAATATACCATATCGTATACCCTAAATCTTAAACCTGCCAAGAACTAGGATCCTTAGTGTAGGGCCCCTAAATCCTAAACGCTACAGCCTAGAACAGAACCAGGGCGGGGCTCAAAAAGCTGGGAAACCACCACGTCTAAGCGCTCAGGAACGCCATGGTGATGAAGGACCCAAGACTGCCGAAGAGCACAAAGTCGATGTTGGGGTTTCCTGAAATTAGCGGTACCATTTTGGGGGTCCCAACACTGAGGACTATAGTATTTTGGAGTCTATATTGGGGTTCCCCCATTTTGGGAAACTACCATGTCAGCCGCTTTTTTTCACAAAGGGGTGGCCTTAAAGTTTTTTGTATTCGGAGCAGCAGCTGTGACTCCGTGAGAAGCGTGTCGTTGTCGTTATTGAATCCAGACGTTGGAAGTGGCCTCCCGTAAGCTTCTGTACATGCTCCCACGCTGGGTCAGGTCGAAATGGCCCCAATGTGAGCTAGCAACAGTACCTGCAATCTACGGGGGTTCAACAGCGCGGGAAAGTCTTCCCCGTTTGCCTGCAGGAGGATGTCCAGGTCCTCAAGAAGGCTGCGCACATCTTGATGGCTTGAGCCGCCCTGTAGCTCCAAGACTGCCCTTCGAATCCAATCTGAGATACTTTAGCAGCAATCCCCTCCCATTTTGGTATATTATATTATCTTGAGAGTATTTAGTCTTAGGGGGGGGGGGCTGGGGGTTGAATATTAGGGGGAGGACATTACCCACTTCGAGCCACTTCTTGGAGCCTTGGGGCAATGTGAACGTAGACAGTCCCTAAGGGTCCATGTACCCAATAAATGGGTACTTGGGATTTGGGTAATAGTAATTATAGTGCTGGTTTGGGGTAAGTATAACATTACTAGATACTTGGACCCTTAGGGAGTATTCATGCAAAAAGTTCGTACAGGTTACGGCACTCGCGACGGTCCTGTGAAGCATAGCAGCGACATTCTAGTTCAAACTACTACGAAGATTTCCCGGAATTACTTTGGTTGTGGGTCTAATCAGAATTGCTTTGGAAGACTGTAGCACATATACCATGATAAGAACCCGTAAGTTAGCTGAGAACAGCCTGAAGAGGAGATAGCGGACCTCGAGGTGGTGGTCCAGGGCGTACTTGCTGAGCAGCGGCAGCTTCTCAAGGATGGGTTTTGTTGAAGCATTCAGCTTGATCTAGGGTTCTATAGGGGCATTTGGGGTTTAGGGTTTAGGGTTTGGGGGTGACCATGTATGTATAGATTTCACCTGGGTGGTTGGGTTGGCATGGCTCACACACGCGGCAAAGCCAGCTTTCAGTTCCAAGAGCTCACCCTTCACTTAGTAGCTGGGTAGGTACACTTTAGATTTTTCGGGGTTCTTGTATTCCCATTAGAATAGAAGGTGCACATTTTTTTAGAAGCCAGGGAACCCAGCAACTGAGTTCAAGACAGGCAGTGGCGGGAAGTTAGCCCCTAGCTCAGCATGCCTTCGGTGGCATTGGAAGAGTGTTTATATCCCTAAATAGTTTCCGTTTTCTTTTCCAGTGTTCCCTATATAACTCCAATACTAAAGTAGTTTTCATTTTCTTTTCCGTTATCCCAATATACCCCCAACAAGCCCTAAACCCAAATGTGCGCGGCACATGCATCCGGAAGTGTACCGTTTCAGATTACAGGAGCGGCTCTCTCTCGTAATTCCTGCACGATCTTTTGGCGTGACCCCCAGGGTTTAGGGTTCAGGGCTTAGGGTTGGCCATGTAACTTTCTTCTCTATTAACCACCAGTAGGAGAAAGACCCAGAACTAGTCTTCGTAGGATGCGACAGTTAAGATGCTGGATTGTATACATGTAGTAGAAGGCACTTGCTAAAGGTAAGTAAGAACTGGCAGAAGGGATCACCACAGTAGTCCCTAGGTACTCCGCTACAACCACCTTTTCTAACAACCAACCACCAGTAGAAGAATGCCAGGAAGTTCTCTCAATTTTCCCTTCAGTGGCTCACTGAATGCTAGCCCGTTGAGTGGGACATGTCTGATGGTAAATGTTTTAAACAGATTTGGAGTACCCTTATGAAGGTCCCCATGATGAGGATTATCGTATGTATGGTAGTTTCCTAAAATAGGGGGACCGCAATATAGACCCCAAACTGCAATAATCCTTATTTGGGGGGCCCTCAAAAAGGTACCCCTAATTTTGGGAAACCCCCATATATGGTATATTGGGATCCCCTAGTTCTTGGACATTACCGAATAGTGAAATCCGCAAGCTTCAATATAAAAGTTAAGCCTGACCCCGCAGGAGCACCAGAAAAGGACGTGGCTTGGCTATTACCCTGAACCTCCCACGTAGTTCCTCTCGGTGGTATGTTTATAGTCCCCCTTAAGTAGATAGAATATGCGGTATATGGAGATCTGATTATAATATACCCGAAGCCATATTCTATCTACCTCAGGGGGACTATATCAAAAAATAGAACGCCCAAGAAGGAACCATCTGAGAGCCCTTGGATAATGATTATGGAGAGGTCATTTGAGCCATAGTCTAAACTCCTAGTATCCCCCTTAATAACCCCTATAGTAGTGCCCTATATAATCCCCTATATAAACCCCCTTTAAGGAGTTTAGACTATGGCTCATTTTCCTTTTTAAGGCTGGAAGGATTTGCAGCCATGAGCTCTGGGGTCATAGGGGTCTATACCAGGACCCGCCTTGTTCCCTTAATTGGGGATATATGGTCCCTAATAGGGAATAATGGGTCTAAAGTTGAAATTCTGTGCCCCTAGTATGGGCCCTTAACCTTGGGATCCTTATATACCTACTACATATACCTTATGTGTACCTTTAAAGGTTCTTAGAACCCCCTGAAAAGCTTAAGGGCCCATATTCGGGGCCCATACTTCCAACCTTAGAATGGTAGATCAGATAGGTAGTTTTGGCACACTGGGCCTTCATGGGGTTTAGGGTTTAGGGTTGTCTTCTCCACCTGGTTTAGGATTTAGGGTTTCACGTCCGCATTGCATAGACTGTAGGTGTTTAAGCCGTGGCCCGTAGTAATTATTTTGAGGTCTATGTGAGGCCTGCTTTACCACGAGTACGCAAGGAATCTAGAACCCAAAACCCTAAACCCTTACTTAAGCGTCTACATAACAGCCCAAAGCCTGCTCCCTTCCCCCCCCACCTCTCCAGCCTAGGACCTGGAGAATGCAAATAGCTTTTACTACCCAGACCTCTGGGAGGATCTAAAAATTAGATCCCCCAAAAACCTGAGGGACAAGATACGTGTGTGTATGTGGTTGTTTCCTCAAATAGGGGGACCCCAATATAGACCCCAATATACTTTAGTCCTTATGATAGGAACCCCAAAATGGTATCTTAAGTTTGGGACCCCCCCATATATTGGGGTTATTAAGGAGCAGGATGTTCTGAGGTTTCTTGGGCTGGGTTTGAGGTTTAGGGATTTTGTGTTTAAGGTACACGTCATATCCCCGTAGCTTCTTGCTTGGATTATACGCTTTTATGCGGTTCAGCGCGGCTTAGGTTCAGGGGTGAAGAGATTAGGGTGCAGAGTTGGTGACATCGCAATGCATGGGCGCTGCCAACCTGAGGGCCGCTGGAATGATGTGGGGATGACAATACGTTCGATATGTGACCTCCATCATGTAGGGCATTGTAGGGCCTTTTTTCTCGGAAACTGGCGCATAGTTGTAGATAGCTTCAATCCCCAAACGAGGTTCTAATCCTTCTTAAGCCCTGCTATGCTGCTATACCCATGAACGTCCAGCTATTCAAAATGAAGCCTATGACCAGCGTCTTCCAGTGGTCAGGGGCCGCTCTTGTTGTAAGTTGGGCTGGAAGGGGGTTGTAACGAACACGAGTATGGTTACAAGTCCCATGACTTGTAGTTCCGGGATTTAGAAGTAGTATACCTTATTCCCTACAAAAGAAGCAGTAAGATAAGTGGTAGCTTCCCAAAATGAGGGGACCCCAATATAAACCCGGAAACCCCCAAGTAGACGTAGAAAAGGTAGGAATCAGCGGGAACCCACCTGGAAGTTCCAGTCTTCGAGCTTTGAAGCTGTCAACTCCACTTGAGCTATAGTCTAAACTGCCTGAAGGGGGGTATATAGCGGATTATATAGGGGAGTATTATGAGGCTTATTCGGGGGGGACTAGGAGTTGAGACTATAGCCCATTTGTTTCAAACATTGGTTCGGTGAATAATGAATGGGTGCCTCTGAGACTGAAACTTACAGAGCCTCTGAGGCGGACCCCCCATTTACTATTACTATTACTATTACTATTACTATTACTATTATTATTACTATTATTATTGCTATTACTATTACTATTACTATATTGCTATTACTATTACTATTACTATTACTATTACTATTACCATTACTATTACTATTACTATTACTATTACTATTACCATTACTATTACTATTACCATTACTATTACTATTACTAGTACTAGTACTAGTACTCGTACTAGTACTAGTACTATTGTACTATTATTGCTATTATTCCTACTATCTTTATTAGCATTATTCCT